ATGCACTGGACAGGAAGATTTAATCCTGACCGGAAGAGGAGTCCAAAGCCTAAACCCCCTGCCCCCCCCTCCCCAAAAGAGGTGGTCTGGCAGATCCAGGCCTCTCCTCCCTGCACCTCTCTTGGGGGTCTGGAGCCCAGAAACGCCCTGGCAAGCAAGCAAGTCAAGCAAGCCTGGAGATATGGAGGTCCTTCGGGAGGAAAGGTGGGATCCTGGTCAAGAGCGGAGGGTGGGAGCCTTCGTGGCTTGTCAGAAGGAGAACAGGGCCTGGTCAGCCTGAGCTGTCGCTTACGAAACAAGCCAGGTTCAAATGTTGGTTTATGCATTTAGTTCACTCACTTTGGCAAACCCTAGTAACGGTTGACCACGGGATGTAGGGACCACGGAGCAGCTTGTCGATTGCCGTCCGCCTTCTGCTCCCTTTTCCTCCCGTCGGCGCCTTACTTGGAGCTGCTCCCTGGGTGCCAGGCGCTGAGCTCTACCTTTTTCCAAGCGTGCTTTGGCCCTTGGTGTGTCAGATTGCTTCCTGGGCTTTGGACGCTATTCCAGGCTTGTATTTCTTTTTAAAGTTTCCTTCTTTGCTGCCGTCCCCCAGTCCTGCTTTTTAAGTGGGTTGATGCTGAGACTTAGTTTAGCTTCCTTCTTTGCTGCCGTCCCCCAGTCCTGGCAGCTCCATGTGGACGGAAGCTGGCTTCTTGTGTCGTGGGTGGCCTCTGGGGGAGGAGAGCTAGCCGGTAGTGGTGGTGTCGTGGGTCAGCAGGGCTGAGCAAGAGGAACTTTGGGTGGATGGACGGAGGCTCTGGGTGACCCCATCCATTCCCATTTGGCTGTGGCCCTCATGGTAAAAAGAGGCTGGTGGACATCCCCAAACCTAAGAAAGCAGTTTTGTTGCTTTGAAATAGTGCTCGGCTGGAGGATGCATCTGGAAACGAAACATCTGGAAAGGAAACACCCGTCACTTTGGCTACTGGGGTTTATTAGGACAGGAGGGTTGGCCTCGAGCAATGCTGGGATGTTTTTTTTTTTTTAAACAAGTGATGGCTCTTAAGGTTACCTGTTCTGTATACAAGGCTGGCTGGGTAGCCCGGTGAGTCTGGTCTCTGGCTGCAGAGCCAAAGTTTCAAAGTTCACTTCTCCCACTGTGCATTCCAGAAGAACCAGCCTGTGTGGCAGGCTCCCTGGGGGTGGGGGGCAGGGGACAGGGGGGAGAACCAACACCCCACTTCCTGTTCTTTGCCGCTCTTTGGCTGCTGTCATTTTCATCTTTTAAAAATGACTCCATCTTCCTTTTCTGTAAGAAAGCAATTCTCCAGAGTCAGTTTTGCAGGCTGATTATTGCAGTTCCCCTGAGAAGCCTTGGGACAAGTGTGCAAAGCTGGACTGGGCAGCTTTTTCCGTAACTACTAGGCCAGGGGGGGAGGAGAACAGGAGCTGCCCACCCACGGGCCTCCCCTTCTTCCCGTGGAAGGACTGTCCACAGGGACGTTGCTTCCGCAGTCTGGTGTGGTGGTTTTCCCCATCGATATCGGGGAGTCAAAGCCTTGGTCTCAGCTGGATGGGTCAGGCTCCCTTGGTCTGTCCCGCTGACCCTGGGTCCCATTCCTGGAGGAAACGCTGGCGATAAATCTGGCACGTCCATAAATGCGCCACAAGTGGGTGCCGGGGGGGGGGAGGCACAGCGCAGGAGGGCTGGGTAGCCAAGGAGGAAAAGGTCCCGGCTGCTGCTCACTTCCCTGCTCAGCCAAGGACCAAGTGGAGGGACAGAAAGGAGGGCTGCTGGATCCTGTTAGCAGGGGATCACCTGGGCCAGGCGGCCCCAACGTGCCCGGCCCTTCTGTGGCAAAGGACATGCCTTCAGGGGCCATAAATTCCCCAGCAGTTGCTGGCAGACACAGACGGGCGGGTGCGCTTCTGGGCCACACCTTGTCTCAGAGAATGGAGAGAGAAAGAGCCGAGGGAGGTAGGCTGGGTGGGTGTGCGCGCGTGCGTGCATGCACGGCAGCTCTCTCTGCCTCATGCTGCTGCTTGTCGTCGTGCACTTGGGAGCACGGTGGGTGGGGTTTCCCCTCTGTCCCCCACCGCACACTTTCTCCAAAGTACAATGGTAACAGCCCCTCAGGCTCAGGGTGCCAGATGGAGAGCTGGTGGGGCAGACCCTTCATGCCGGTGGGGGGGGGAAAATGAGGGAAATAGAAAAGAATGTATACCCACCCCCTGCCCTTTTGAGGAAGGGTGTGGAAGAAGCAGTCGTACCACTAGAGCTATGAACCAACGTGCGTTGGCCATGCTGGGTGGCTGCCCAGCTGCCCATGTAGACGCTGGGCGGGGGCGTCCGGGGGGCGTGGCACCTAAAAGGTAGCCGAAAGCCAGAGGTCATTCCGCCTGGGCACCGTCAGAGCAAGCCGTGCGTGCCCTCTTGGGCAGAAAGCTGTCCTTTTCAGGAGCCCAGCTGTCCAGACTTCTGCATCAGCATCATCAGCATCCTCTCCCTCCAGGCTGGGTCAGGTGAGGCAGTCGGTTGAAAGACAGGAAGGGCGCTGGAAACAGTCTTTACGCCGACGGGGGGGG